CACTACTTCCTTTCTTAATCGGTAACTTACTTGATTTAAATCGTATTTGCCACTGATATGGACAATGTTAGTGACTATCTATATTCTATATTATTGATACAGATCAATGCTTAATCTTCGAATTTTTAAATTATTTTTGAAAATCGAATTTGAATATACGCTGTATTGCTATTACAAGCTCTCGAAACACACGCGTTTAATAACATTTACGCTCATGATAACGTTGGAAAGTAGCATTCCGGTTGAAAGTTAATGAAGAGTGCAAACATAGGAACGAATTTTCAGATTAGATTTATTTGGAAATGAAAATATGCTATTTGTTATTAATTTTTTCGCGAGTAATTGCACCTGTTTAGGTGCACAATTTCCTTCCTTTATCCATAACTTTATTAATTTTAAAGCTCAGCATATGTAAGACTATGTACAAAGTTAAATAATCATCTTGACCTACGTCAGTATTATTATTTTTTTATAAAGACATCGGTGGGAAAAAGTTAAACAATCGAGAGGTGCGAAAGTTAGACACTTTTCTAACTGTTCGTAGGAAATGCAGAGACGACGAAAATGTTCACCGGTTAGATTCAAAATGATCTGTAGTACAAATAAAAAAAAATTTATTTAGATCTGGCTTAACCATCTTTTAGGAATATGCAATATTTATTACTCTAGCGTAGGTATATCAAAATTAAAAGGTTAGATGCTTAGCTTGTTAAATACATATTATTCTTAAACATTTTGTATTAGGTAATTAAACACCTTCACCATTTTGTTAACTTTCGAATGATCGCATCCAATTAGATTTTGAATACTAAAAATTCATAGCTACTTAACACATAAGAACTTTCATATTAAATGTAAGTTCAACAAATACTTTACTCGAAAATTATGTTTAGCTTTACACACTGCGTATCCCTTTTGTCTGCGAATGAGATTACTCGTCAATTTAGCCAGGAATTTATTTACATACGATGGGATGACCTGGTAGTATGAAATATATACTAGGTGATGTCTTACCTACGGACTTATTGTATTGTTCATTATTACAAAAAAGGCCGCACAGCAGTGAGATGATCGTGTCGAAAAACGAACCATTTCCTTCTACGGTTTCTGGGGCATGACGCGCCGCCGACTGTGGTAGTTCTACCCGTAACATACAGCTACATGTTAACATTAAATTTTACATACGTACATTCGGGTCACATCGGTCATTATAAAACACTGGTTAATGAAACTAACGTTCAAGCCTTTTTATTTTTTCAACGATTTAAGCTGACAAGTACCGTTTCTCAGCGAACATTTGTTCTTGTAATTCGGATTATATTGAGTCGGTCTATACAAAATATCGGTCATACCCGATATTGGCACGTTTAGTCACATTTTTATGAATGAAACATTATTAACAATGTTCAGCAATCGCACGTGAATATTAGAGTCCACAGTTTGCTTTCCGCATAATATTATTATATTTCAAAATTAAAACAACACATTTACAAAGAGGAAATAAATCTGTTATCTGTTTTGGCAATTTGCGTAAAGAAATTTTGTTTGTATGTATATTCATTACATATCATTTGTCGTATGAGGTATACTATTATTAAATATATGCATACCACTGTTGAGACTTTTTTATTATTAATTGAGTGAGTCTTTTATTAACGTTAAAATTTCTACCTATACAGTGAACTCTAACTATATTGCCATGGGCGGGGCTGTAAGGGAGTAACATGGCAATGAGTTCAGAGCCCCCTCCATCACCATAGCTTCGGCCTGAGCGCCTGCGCAAACGAATTTACATGCTCAAAAGTACGTGTGAAGGGGAAGTGCCTCGCGTGGCAATATATTTAGAGGCCACTGCAATTAAATTTTGAAAAGTTAGTGACACCTTTCGACATGTTTTCGATTTCAGGCATCACTTAACTGTAGCGATTGTTAATTTAATCAAATTTTTGTTACGTGACCGTTCGTTAGTTGTGACCAATTAACGTCGAGTGGCCTCGGATGTAGCCGTGTTAATAACTGATTTTGTCACTTTCGAAACGGATACAATTAGAAAATATTTTATCCGGAAAATGAACGGATCCACGTGGCGACCCAAATGCATTTATGTTGTATATGTATGTATGAATATAAAGAAAGAAAGACGAGACGATGCACAATAACGAAGGTGCTGATTGCAGTGCAAGTGGCATTCGCAACAATACTCTATTCACGATTGAAACAAATTAAAGTGAGCTGGTGCATTAACGAACGTTCTGAGACAAGAATGCACAGAGTAATTTATTGGTGCGACTCGTAATATTATTCTATGCGAGCGATTAATGACAAAGAAGCGTAATTACGGACATTAATGCCTATATCAATAACCATCAACAATACTACGTTAAGAAGCGTGAAAATTACGAAAGCTTTTTGTTCTTAATAAATAAGCAAACAACAGAAACGAAAACAAATTTGCATTACGTATACATTGGAGTGCAACTTACAAAATAATAAAAATAAATAAAACTATATTTGTTTAAAGAAATTTCGCGGGTTCCGTAACACAAAGAACTACTTTAATTGTAATACATTAACCGTAATAACCAGAAATATATATCAATTTATTTGAAGTATTCGAAATTTTGACTTATCGTTGGTCGTTCAAGTTTAGGAAAGACAAGAATAGTTAAATGCGGTTAATATAGACACCATGGAGAAAAATCAGGCATACCTCTTCGCATAGCGAAATCTAAGATTTCTTTCAGTTCCATCCAGTCCACCTCCATGTCCTCGCCAGCGAGCTTCTTGAAGAATTCTCGAACTTTATCCGAGTTTCGGTCCGGTTCTGGTTCTTCTCGAACCTTGAAAACAATTCGAAATATTACAATTCGAGAAATATAAGAAAAATACATTCTGCAGTAAAAAAAAATGTATTGTGCTTGGAGTAAAAGTTTTGATGGATTTTCAGCAGATGGTATAATCACTATGAATTTGTGGAAACAATAAACAATTATGTTAATATATTATGTGTTGATGTTTATGTAACACAGTGAATTGATGTTAAGAACAAGAAAAGGTGTTTTATTATTTAGAAGTAAAATTGAAATTGACCTTTTGAAAAAAGAAATTGAAAATGAATGGAATTAAACATTAGTTACGAACACCGTAAAAAATATTTCTGATTTTCTTGGAGAAGCTGTTATGTCAATCCCACTTTGTGGTGGATTTTTATATTAATATAATTTAGTTATACAGATTCAGTAATAATATTCCAAAATTTTGTTTACCAAATAGAAATTTTTATTGAAAAAAAACATAGATGTATAGATATTACAAAAGAATCATTATGTATTGCACTAAATTATTATCAAGTTATTATTAAAATTATTATTATTAGTCTACTCTTTTGGAGAAAAACCGTCAAAACTTTTGCACTCCCCTAATATACCTACTAATGTACATATGTAATAATTTAACGTTACTTGAGAAAATTATGTTTATCAAAGTCAGACAAAATGATAATCGATCACTATGTCGTGCGCTTCACTTACCTTATCTCCATCTTCGTTTTCCTTATCACCTTTAGGATTAATCACCTAGAAGCCAAGCAGTGTGAACATGCGAATTGTTACGACTTATTAATAAGAATCCATGGTTATCCACTTTAAAATACGCGTTCATTGCAAGACGATCACTTAATATTTACGATTATACACAAAATCAATCTACTGAAACACACACTTTCAAAGCACTACGGAAGCTTGGCACAGTGAATGCACGTCGTCTACGTGCAGAAAGATTGTACCAAAAATTTTTCGAACTACGTATGTTTAAAACAGTGAGTCGAGACAGTGCATTTTATTTAAAAAATTATTTTAAAAAGTATTGAAAACAAATTGTACGTTCCATTGGGTTGATCAGAATGAATCCCCAATTGATTTTAATTCTGCTGACATTTTAGTCAGTAGAATAATTCTAAAAGCCAGTTTTACTTTATCTAATGATTCTACTAATGCTAATTATGAATTTATGAATTATTTGTATATTCCTTATAATAAGATTTCTTAAACTTTGATATAATAAACTATAAAGAAAATACAATACCGAAATCATTACTAAGAATGAGTGAAATAAATGATCTAATGAATTTCTTTTTTTTCTCTTGAATTTTAAAAATTTTTGGAACAACCAACGTAACTGTACAGTGCGTACAGATATTTTTAGTGTTGCACATTGCATTAGTGCATGTTAATTGTTGTGGATTAGCAAACTTTAATTACAGCGCGAACAGTGCACACTCAAGATATATTAATATATCAAGTGAAATACGTATTATATCAGAAGTTTAGTATTAATTACTTAAACACCAGTAAGATAGTATTTCTTACCCTGTCGTCAATTTCTCCAATACCGACTTCTTCATCGTTCTCTCTAAAAGATACAATATTCAGGTAAATTCTCGATGTCTCGCAAAGTCGATTCAATTAAACGGGTTATTCCACGTCAAGCGGATCACTTTTGTACACGATGTATAGGATTTTACTAAAATTGAAACATGTTATAGCCCATGAGAAAATATGGGGTATTTAAGTTATCATTTCCCCAGTTTCGAAATTGTTTAAAAAATACAGACCCGCAAAGTTGGCAATTTTCATCGATTGTTACGGAAAGTACCTACATTCATAAAAGAATATTTATCTCCACAATTATTAAAGACACAAACTATATTATTTCTCCATTTTAATCGTAAATGATCGTTCCTTTTAAATAATTTTTTGTTTCATACGCAAAGTCATGTGTGCAATGCAAAACTATTAAAAATATTCGTCTTTTTATACTGGTGAAAACTGCAAAAATTTGAGAGTCTGTATTTTTTAAATAATTTCGAAACCAGCGAAATGATGACTTAAACCCTCCACATTTTCATATGACCTATAACATATTTCAGTTTGAGTAAAATCAGAGACATCAAGTACAAAGGTGATTCGATTTGCATAAAATGGTCCGAACCGAAGTTATACTTACTCCATGTTGTTTTTATTCTCGGAAAAGATTCGTAGCAAGAATTCACCTTCCTCGTTAGGATCGAATGTGCTCGGGACTATACAATAAGCACCAGGCGGCAATTTAAAGCGACATGTAACTTCTCGTAAGTTTATAAATGCCGGTGACCGCGCCACCGATGCGTTGTACTTGAAGAAGTTCATGTCCAACGGTTTGGGCAGACGTTCAGGATACTCCAGCTGTATAATTAAATCGATTTACATGCACGAAGAAGTTATTTTCTTGCGTATATCATTAAAGATTTGCAAATCTTTATGCAAATTCAAATTTTTATGGATTAATTTGTTGAACTGCAGTTATATCAGAGATTTGTTTTCTTTGTTATCGGTTTTGATAATTCCATGGTAAAGTAAAATTTATGCTACTCTTAACGGAAATTTTTACTGTATTGCATTGTGTGCATTCTAAGTTGTGACAAATGCATAAAATCCGCAGTTTAATCGTTATAGATAGACTGCAGACATTTATTTCCAAAATCAGTATTAAACGAAAATGTATTTCTTCTATCAAGTATCTTATTTCGATAGAAACACAACAGAGACAGTATTTAACCACGCAAGAGCCTTAGTTTTATTATACTTTATGCATAAATATCAGAAATGTCTATTCATACTGATTATATTAGAGAAGTTTTTGCACTCGCAGCATTCAAGAACGTGCAAGACAAAGAATTGGAACCATTAATTAACTTTAATCCTTTTTTTACTGTGTACCTGATCCAACACTAGATAGAAGAACTAAATCCTTCCTTAATCTCTGTAAGAATAAGTCTAAGAAAATGTGAATTTTTAATACTATTCGCAGTTCAATTTCAGAACCAGGGTGGTTCGCATTAATAACGAAGATTTAAAGTTATTTCACCAATAAACGATTTGTAATAATACGCACATGGTATATCGCGAAACCAATAGTGAGACACTCGGCGCCCATTCGTCTCTGTGCTCGTCTATTCTTTTGCATTAACGCAACGATCACCGTACATTTATCGTCATCTTCATCGGGATATTCCAACGTGATTCGATATTGTGGGTTATGCCAGAAAGTTTCTGCAATGTATTAAAAAAACTAAATTAATTCCCATCCTCTTGAAATACAATTAGACTGAAATAATTGATAAGTCAGACGAATATTCACCTAAAAAGTTTCTACAACCGCCAGCCGTGACGCCCCGCACCCATTCACCTTCGAACACGCTCATTTCCCACTTCTTCTTGCCAGCGTTTAAATCGTCCTCGGTCAACGAGTCGGGATTCAAGTTACATATCTCTAATTGAGTGAAGAATCGCGAAAAGTCTTGAAACGACATCCAGAATTCACCGTCCATGTCGAAGGTCAAACCTAATTCTTCCTTCTCGTGGTCTGGGATGAATCTCCATTCCGGTGATCTATCAAAACAACCACACACTTGATATCATATTCTATACAATATTTTCGAAAACAATTTGTAACACTATAATACAATAATATAACATGGAAATGATTATTCTCACCATTCTGCTTGAATATTTCTCGAAGTTCTATGCCGAAGTAACATTAGCTATAGAGACAATATATCTCTCATATGTTTTTATATATAATTTATTTCATTTTTAGACATTTATGAAATTTTAATAGTACAGTAGGTGAATTGTGATTGTTGAAAGTCACTAGAATTATCAATACGCAATGTTGCCTCGTATTCAACGATAGTTAAAACTAAGTTTTCCCTACTTCAAAGTAGATACCCCATATATGTTTCTTGGGTTCGTGGAAAAATTTGTTCACTATGCGACATTAAAAAGTAAGCTACAATTTGTACATAGTAACAAATTGTTTTATCAATTATCCATTTTCCTCCATTATAATTAGTCAACAATATAATTTCTTCGATTGAAAATTCAGTCAAAGGAATTAGTAAAAAAACCGCCGATTCTGTAGAGGGTGGTTTACCTAACATCTCCACCTCAATTATTCGTACACTATAGGATGTATGAAAGGATAGTTTAAACAAAAATTATATGGCATCAAGGAGGACACATAATGCAATATTTTTTTACTATGTTACATTCTTATCAAGGTATAATAGTCACCTTAAATTTTTTTCATGAAATACCCAATATTTCTCCCTGAATTTCGATAAAATATCAAATACTGCATAAAAAGGTATTAATTCTCTCTAGGGTCTAACGTGAACAGTTTCTGCGATATCAGTCAATTTTTTTAACACGTTGGTAAGATTCTTTCCATTAAAAGGCTCCCACAAACCAACGCGAAATATTCGCTACCGCTGCGAATATTTCGCGGCGATAATTTTTTATTATATAATTCTTTGCGGAAATGTTTCGCATTGGTATGAACAGTCTCATAAGACGCCATGTATTTTAAACTGTCGCTATCGCTGCGAATATTTCGCGTTGGTTTGTGGGAATCTTAAAATAAGATCAAACGTGACATTATTTGAACCATATTTCTTCATTAATATTAACTCAATTATTATTAACTGGTGAACCACCCAGTATATGTGAGATACGAAATTACTTTCTCACCGACCCAATGCATAGTGCATATCAATTTACTTACTGGTCGCTCCAAGGACCGTTCCATTCCGCCTCGTTGCCCCAAGGATTCCTAAGCCTAAGCAACGGTATCTTTCCATACTGATTCGGCGTCTGAATTTCCACGTACTTCACTCGCGTAATACTGTATGCATGGCCCCTGATCAGTCCTTGAGGTGTCTCCGCTTCCAACACGTTTGGGTCGGGCTAAAATAGTAACTCCGTATTATTTACCCCAGCGAATCCGTAGAAACTACAGGCGATTAGACATACGGCGTCAGCCCCCAGATTTTACCTCTATCGAGCAACCCAGTAACGAGTTCCTCTCGAAAGCCTTTATCAAAATACTGAACAGATTCGGTGGTGTTTGGTCCATTTGGTACATTTCCGTGACGCCACCCGTGAAGTCTTCCATCGCCTCGCAGGTGGTGCCGCCCTTTAACGCCTCGTACGAGCCATGGAGCTTCGCGTAAGCTTTCTCCAGAAGGGCGCTCCAGAACTCGTTGCTCTCCGCCGAACGCAGGTACATTAATTCACCATGGTATGTCGGTAACCTATCATCGATCACTACGTCCACCCATCTACCGTATTGCCAGAACCTGTTTCACATAAAACGATCGTGTTTACAGTGCCGTTGGTGTTTAGGTGTACGCGTTTAGGTAATCCATTATTTCTTGATGAGATCAGAGTATACCCAGATAGCACCCAACGCCTTGAAGATGGATTAAAGGCGCCTCAGACCTAAAATAGCCGTAAAATGGGCGTTTTCAAGGCGTCATGTGCTATCTGGAGGCGTAACAAAGTATGCACTTGACAGGTTTCACGGTATCCCCCCCCCCCAATGGTGGGGATAACACCTGGACAATAATCGTGTAGAACAAGCCAGACGATAATCGAAAGGGGTCTGTAACTCGGAAACGAACCTTCAAACGCAATTTTGTCATTCTTGATTTTTATTTAATGAGTACAATCCACTATGTGAAAGTGTCCTGCATTTTTATTAGCACTATATTGTTCAATTTGTGTTCATATTGAGTTTTCAAATACTACCTACGCTATTTTGTTTTTTTATTTTTTTTGTTTGAGACTTCTCAGAGAACCGATTGACAAGAATATTTTCAAATTGTTCGAATAATTGGTATTTCGAAACTGTATCTGTTTTTACTATTACGAAGCGCTTCGATTTATAAAATTCAACCGAAACTAGTATTCGCAATATCTTTTCAAGATGCTAGGTTCAAAGAATTACCACTGTACCTGAAGTGGAAAATACCGGCGTAATTTTCCTCGAAGCTCTGGTCTTCTGGCACTACTTGGAAAAATAAAGTCTGGTCCATGGTAAGATTCGCAACAGCGGCGAGCAGCCAGCAATCTCCTAATTCACCTTGCTGGACATCGAACCTGGAGAAACCCTCCACAAATAGTTGGGGATTATCCGCGATTTCCTACGACAGAAAATCTATGAGTAATATATAAAATATTAATAAATACGTTTGTCGAAAAATACCAGGATTTGAAGACTACAAGGTTTTGAAAGATACAAGGATTTGAAGACTACAAGGTTTTGAAAGATACAAGGATTTGAAAAAAACAAGATTTTGAAAAATACAAGTTCGAAGGATACGAGGATTCGAAGGATACAAGGATTCGAAGGATACAAGGATTCGAAGGATACAAGGATTCGAAGGATACAAGGATTCGAAGGATACAAGGATTCGAAGGATACAAGGATACGAAGGACACAAGGATTCGAAGGATACAAGGATACGAAGGATACGAAGGATACGAAGGATACGAAGGATACGAAGGATACGAAGGATACGAAGGATGCGAAGGATACGAAGGATACGAAGGATACGAAGGATACGAAGGATACGAAGGATACGAAGGATACAAGGATTCGAAGGATACGAGGATTCGAAGGATACGAGGATTCGAAGGATACAAGGATTCAAAGGATACAAGGATTCGAAGGATACAAGGATACGAAGGATACGAAGGATACAAGGATTCGAAGGATACAAGGATTCGAAGGATACAAGGATACGTAGGATACAAGGATACAAGGGTTCGAAAAATACAATCATTTAAAAAATATGATATTTAAAAAATTACAAAGTTTCTTACCATTGGCCTCTTCCATTCTACATATCTGTCAGGTCTCTTCGAAAAGAACAGGGATGAGTCCTCCGCCGGAAATTCGGGGTCTTCGAAAAGTCTGCCAGTGTTCAAACATTCTCGCCTGAGTGTGTTGAAGTCTTGAACAGCACCACGTGGTCTGAATCCAGATCCTTTTTCTCCTAACTAAAAACAACCACATATTCTTAGACATTTTCATTCTGTTCCGAGATACAGAATTATTTATTTCCTAATAATTTAATTTTAGAAATAATCGAGAAGCATACATTGTAATAGGATTTTCCGATAAAATTTCTCGTAGTTTTTACAGGCTTATCAGTATACGTTATTTTTTTATTTAAGGGTTTTGATTGAAGATTCGAATATCGTTTATCCATTGAGTATGTTTTCGAGGACGGGCCGGATTCAGCTTGACGACCACTATGGATCGTGTTTCTTCGAGCAAGATCTAGATTTTTACTTTTACTAAATTCTGTCATCGATGATAGCTTTAATACCGCGACACCATCTTGCGCGTAATTTGACAAACGATAATTTCTATATTTTCGTTGTTGTTCCATTTTAATGTTTAAGGATATGAGAGAGGAGTGCTTTTCTAGCATTAATGAGCGAATGAAAAATTAAACTAAAACAAGTAGTTTGTTAGAATTTTCCGTTAAATTCCGATTGTTTCTTCGAACACTAGCAAAAACTGTATCATTTTCTGGGAATCAAACTATTCACGATCACAGATGGAAGTGTACTGTTGTTAAAACCTTGTGATTAAACTTATCTACTGCGGTACTGCAATAGTATGACCGGAAGAACACTAACCACATTTAGTTTAGATTGCAAGGTATCGTCAATTACATGTAATATGATAGGAGGAATAGAATTCTCGTAGTTGCAGATAAATGATAACAAAGAATAGAATGTTGAGTCCAGGAAAAACTGTAGTTAAATGTCCATCAATGATTTAAAACAAACAAGACATTTTTTAATATACAATGTTCGATTAAAATGAACAACAGATTGTTTAGTTGAAACGATTTTATACCTCGTTAACCCTTCAACGGCGAATGATTAAGTAGCACATTTTGATTTATGTATAGTAAAAGTTTCGATATATCTACTCTAGGTTAAGGTTTTATATTCATTTCTGAATGTTCTACTTTTCGAAATGCTTTTCTCAATTGATATTAGGGAATATAAAGTGATTGTTTATCTTATATTACGAGTTTCGTTCTCGAGATTTAGCTATGTAGTACTGCTATTCTACACATGATATCAACTATGTAGTACTGCTATTCCATACTGATTAGTTTATCTCATACCTCGTATGAGCCTACCGCCCTAAACTCCGTTACTTTCAAATATAAAATTATACGTACGAGATAATTACTCTGATGAGATTCGATTTCTCGACAGTCGAGTGTCGCAATGGACGAGTTTATATGACCCTGCATTCGTTGTCAGAGGATTAAACAACTTGAAATGCCATACAGATTGTAGATTCAGTGTTTAATCAAGGTATTATCAAATCAAACTCGAATTACCAAATGCATATAGACAAAAATTATGCGATTTTTTAACAAATGCATTATGAAATCTTTGGGACTATATTAAAACAATTTGATTCCTGTTTCGCAATTTTTAGGGACCAGTTAAATATTTTATTAATCGTATATGTACTTGAAGATCATTCCGGTATAAGTCTCATTAAAAGACTTATACATTGTGCATATGATTTGTGCATTTAGTATTTAACCCTTAACTGGTGAAGTGGATCTGAGGATCACCTTGAATACTTTCAGAATATTCCATTTTTATTCAATATTTCACTTAAAGAGATACTTGTTTATTTCGATGTTTTCTTACATGAGAGTACAAAACAATTAGTTGTGCACTAAGTAATAAGATTTGTGTAATAAGTAATAAGAAGTCCATCTCACCAGTTAAGGGTTACTGAAAGTATTTCATTGTATCAGATCCAAATTATCAAATGTATACATATCTGGACCCCAGAGCCAGAGTGTATTAAGTCACACTTTTCAAACTTTAGAGAGCAAATCAATAGGTGCGAAAACCTTGTAACGTTGAAAACGTTCGGTAAGAATTGACCGAGAAACATTCCCTACCTTGGAACTATTGAATGGATTTAAGACAAATATGTAGAAATGGTGCATTTTGCACTAATTCCCCTATGTAATGGACTTCACACTGTTTTAAAAATATGGACTTAATGTCATTTTTAGATTATCATGGACCTATATTAAAAACCAGACGACTTAAAACGAAATAATTTTTATCATTGAAAGGAGAGAAGTATTTGATACAGGAAACATGTGAAATGTCATTTTTTTAAAAGTGGACTTAATACACTCTGGCTCTTGGGGCCAGATATAGGTGTGTTGCACTGTATTGCACTTTTCAGAAGCCAATTCAATCTCTCCCAAAATTCTGTACAAATTATATACAGAACTGGGAATAAACAGGATTATTTGTGTGATAGCTATAGAAATAAAGTATAGATCTACTAAATACACATCCTTATCTCGGTCGCGTGTTTCAGTACACGTGCGATGAGTAGTGTATAATGACGCATAGCATGAGCATTCCGTTTAATCATAATTCCAGCAAACACACGACCCGGTGTAGAGAATGCGTACGCATTGATCCAAGTGTTGCAACCAGAATCCGCGTCAACGTTCCCATCGTCATCGTACCTTCACACTAGAACTATCGACGATAGACATGATGAAACAGATCGATAAACATGATGAATTTTTGAAAATATCCAAATTTATAAATTAACTTATTTCTTCACTTTCGTATTGCGATAAAAGTTGTAAAAGATCTGAAAGAATGTATTTTTGTAACATTTTAATCATCGTTATAAGAATTTACTAATCAATCATTCAAAATAATCGGAAAAACAAAACTAAATTTGCATAAACATCTACAGCCCACTGACAATAATCAACTGTACGATTTTACATTGAAATCGATTCTTTCGTATCGGTATAGTATTGACGAATAGAAAAAAAGAGTTCTCTATCCTTCAGAATACCATTACTGTACTGTACTATTATTTCATCTTTTTTTGTACCATAAACACGGCGGTAATAACGATGCACATAAATTTCCATTGAAGTTCGTACGAATACATAGCGAGAAACTTATCTTTTATCCGCCAGGATAAGAAACTCCAACGATAATTTGAGTAACAACGGTTGTTCAAAATTTAGTCAAAACGTCTTTAATGTTTCTCGTGGTTTTTTTTTAAATCTTTATCTAATATTGCTTCAGATTTAAACTCTTCATACAGGTTTATTCGCGAAATGCTCACAAAAAAGGTACCAGATAACTATTTAGATTTAAATATTCATGTCGAATGAATGTTGATAAATATATTTCAATCTTAAATTATAATACATTACTTTCCTCTTTAATATCATAGGTATCCCAAAATTTTAATAAGATTAGAACGCACAACGTGGAGAATTATTATGGGGATATTCTCATGTAGATACTGACTTTATTCAAGAACGGATGACTGGTAATCAAATTATGCGGTTGGGGTTTAATTTTCAGGGTCAGCCCCAAATGAGTCCACATGCGTAATCCATTTAACTTTAATTTGAGGAACGCAGTTTTGTGCCCGGACGAGTATGAAGTTACGATAGGTTAGGGACAGATGATGAAATACGGTGACCATCGAACATTTCCGGACAGTTTTCTTCATATTCTGATAAAGACAGCTTCTACCACACTATCCGGAAGCTTATCTATGAGTCTTCGGATACCAGCGCTTAACGATATGATTGGTTTATTAATTTTTCTGTAATCCACGTGCATTGTTCGAGTCAATTTCATCCGAAAAAGGAACATTTGATTTAAATAATTTTTTACACTGTGAAAATTTATAAATTACGTCGTGTACGTGAGTAATGGATGCATATGATAATCCAAATATGTAATCAATGGTTAATTTTATTTTTTAACAATCACCTAAAGATTAAATACACATAAGTTAGTCTACGACAATAATGATTACCTATGTATGTATTAGTTGAAAAGCATTTATAAGAGTTAAATACATATTACAAGCAGAAATACAACGCTGCGCGTGTGTAATTTTTTATTAAGATTAAATTGATGTATTCAAGGAATTCGTGAGTGATAATTATTGATAAAATTCACTAGGTAAAATGTGAAGGTACACTTCCAAAATGTAGGATTGTGTCGTCGTTATGGTGAGAAAGAAAAGAAGAAAGAATGGTCAAAAAACATTCTTTTATTTTTTACAGATATTTACAGTATCAACATGGAAGTGTACATATTGATCGAAGTGTGTTCTTCATTTTATCAGTTTGCTCATATAAACTATTAGGTTCATACATTAGGTGCAGTGTATACAATATATAAAAGAGATCTTGCAAATATTGTTCATTATCATATACTTAAGATAAAACGCTGTTAGAAGTACCTTGTCGACATTCTAAATAAAGACACTGATAGAAGTGAACATGTCTATTTATCGTTGAAAAACGGAAGCTTTACTTTTCGATGATTCCTTCCGTCGAACGAAACATTAATACATCATTTATGTCGCGTTTATTGGTACCAAAAAAGAACGATACCAGAATCTTACCTACTATACTTTTCGTTATGTTTCTGCCCTTTTCTATGAAAAAAAAGAATGTTTTTCGACTTGAATGAAACTTTCTCTTTCATCATACCTCAATCTTATTCTCATATCAGCCGTCTCTTATCAACACTGACTGGCTATGTAATTATGTACTCAGAATCGTAATATTTCTTATCGCGTTGGTTATTCAATCCTGTAATCATATTGACCCACATTAGTGGAAAAATTTTGATACGTTGTTGAACAATTACTAATAATAATTGCTTAACATTAAAATATCATATCGTTATTCAAACGAGGCCAATATTGTAGTCTGTTTTTTAAAATTTCATAAGATCATTGTGGACGACAATGTACAGTATCTTTGCGTATTACTATATCTCGGAACATTGTGTTTTAACTGGTAAATTAGTATCATGAGATACGTAGTGACAAATTAAACGCATCAAGCGCAGAAATGAGTTGAAGGATGCTGTTAAAGATTAGTAATGTACCATATTAGACACAATGTTAAAGAAACATTTAATGTAAATTTCGTTACATTCATGCTTCCCTATTATTTTCAATAAACCGCCATGATATTAGTAATAATTTCTTGATGAAATATCAGTGAATTTATTTATTAACAATAAAAGACAATTTATCAGATCGTCGAAAACAATTTTTTTTCTGCAGGCAGACGTATTTAGAAAGTCTTCAACTAAATATATCCCGAATATCAATAAATTTCGTATTGAAGATTCCGTGGAAATTCATTTTCCATAGATCAACGAAACCAAAATCGTACGATGACATACGTCGGTATTAATAGTTATCGTCATTTACTTTTTCCATTGATTCTAAACTGAGATCATCGGAATGTTACGATGTGTCTCGAAATATTACGACAAACAAATACGATCGTGAATCGATCCTCCGAACGAAGTGTCTCGATACATATTAATCAAGAAGTACCGAAACGAGGTGGTCAGTATCGTTAGCAATTGAAATAGTGCGCCACCGGCGGAAATACTAGTCCCTTTAGAATCGATGCTTCGATACAGTTCGAATGATTCGTGCCGCTGGCGCCATATGCCGGGCGGCAACGAGCGGCAAGAATCATCTCGTGTGCGTATCGTACGATAGTGAGAGACGCGTGTATACCACTTTGATATTGAAGAGGGACGGTAGGAACCGTTTCACTTCGACAGCTGCTTTGACGAAGATGTCATCGAGCGGAGCTGAGTTCCCATCGCCGTAGTAACTCATCCTTCCCCGTTGACTACGCCCTGGACTAGCTTTATCCACCACTACTGATCACACCAACACGCTCCGAAACGATCCACCCGCGATTCAAAACGACTGTCCGTCGGTCACACGTTGTTTTTCACGTCGAGGATCGCTCGTGTGTCACGTGTGTTTCTGACAATAAACGGGCCGAACAGTGGTAACAGTCTCACGAGCCATCAACGAAATACGAGAGGACGCACGATCCAGATCCTTCACGCGATTCCACCGTGCTGCGGATATAGAACCGTTACCGTGACAGGTCTGGAGCCACGAACTGAGCTCATTCTCCCATTACCCTCACCCATGTCTCCCTCGTCACGCGGCTAAACGTGCCACAATGCTCGATGAGCTTTCCCCTCGATTTTTCAATGGCAAATGTCAGACGTCCTATACCAGAATGAACGAATCGAATGGAATCCCGGCGGCGCCGCTACGTGACACCTTAGAGTTAAGTATTCAATTTCGCAACACCACACGTACTCGTGCACACCCGAATCGGCCGGCATAAACAGGTATTTCCGCTCGGTCTTAGCTCGTGTTCGCTATATTCATCGTCTCTGGTGTTAATTCTTGTTCGTTCGGTGTGCACGCTGCTTAACACACGATTTACCGTGGTATATACTTTAAATTGAACTCGAGAAATCATTAGTTTATAAATCTTGATAAAACGAACAGAAAAGATATCTAGGATTTTTTTCTCTATCGTGAACATTTACAACGGAAAGTTTAGCTTGTTTTTGGAGTCGCTTTGTAATCGATGTTACGGGAGTAGTGAAGTTCGTTGATCTGCGCAGTGAGGCTGCGCAGAGCGTCATAGTCCCTAGATAATAGAACTAAGGCTTTAAAAGACAAATTGTTTTTTTTTCGCTATTAATATTCGAAAGAAAGTAATTCTTATTTCTTTGGTGATCCTCCGAAGAATGTACTTTTGCCTGATTATGTCTGTTTGTACTCAGTTCAGATTCATAAATACAAACATAGTTACTTTCGTGCTCTCGGTGTGCACGTGGCATGAAAGGCCACGCGTACACCATCTGTGAGCCGGGAAGCCAATTCAATTCAAGCGCGGTCTTTTAAATTCCAGTAACGTCCTTGTTATCGCCAACACCAATTAACGTTATTACACAATCGATATAACACCCGACCGCCGATTATGTTTCCCGTTTCTGTTCCGAGAAACGTAGGAAACCTCGGAGACGACCTCTATGCTTAGACAACCGTAAAATTTGATAATAACACCCAAATACTCACTTCCACCTTCTTCGACTCCTGTCGCACAAACTCGGGTTCAACCACCTCCGGCTTCCATCCGTAAGAAGAAAAGTGGTTCATTTTTATTTAACTACGAAACCACCCGTATCCAAATTTCTGCAATGTCCTCTTGCGTTAGAGTTTGGAGTACCACTAATTGCGTTTAAAAGCCCTTACTTAAATGAAACGTACTCTTCGTCGAAAAAACGACAACGGTAATGTCATTGTGCGAAGAAGAACGACTTCCTGTAACGTTATCGCGACTGATTAGCGAGAATCTGTCAGTTCCGGAGCACCGGCTCCACACGGTCCTTTGATCGCGCAGACACCTGACGCACTGCACAAATTTTCAAATGTTTCCCAATACTACAGCGTGATTGGTTGCAAAGTCATTCACGACGGATTGGTACGAAGGAAATTTCGCGACCTTGAGACTGTGTCACAAATTGAACTTGTATCGTTGAACCTTTCGGCTTTGTTGTACGGCGCGACGTTCGTCGGACGATGTCGACGCGGGTGACGAACGACTGACTTGATTCAACAGCGTCTACCTTAATATCTCGGAGTTACGTATACATATGGCCGCGATATAGTTCACCTGTTATATAGATAGTCTTGTTTTTATTGCGGTTTCGTAACTCCTTTAGTCACTGCTGTCGTGTCTAACCGTTATCCTGTATCAGGGACGCTCCTACTGTTATCGTAATAAAGTCTGAAACGTGGTTTTTACTTGGTTTTTTTCATTGAAAAAAAAAGTGGGACAGTATTTGAGAGGCACATGTGACGAGTAAAATGGAGACAAAAGTGAGACTTGTACGGTACAAAGTGTTATGAATACTGAATACGTTTGATGAAAAGTGTCTAATTTAGACTAGGTCGATTGTTAAGTATAGGTTACATTGTTCGTTTGTCCTGAATGGTGTAGGTATAGTATATTTTAGAATAAATATTAAATACGTCACCGAGTATTTACAATTACATAATTTTACTATGTTTATTCAAGTGATATTTATAGTGTGGTTCCGTGTATTCCGGTGTGCTTTCATTATATTGGCATAACTCGATATTTATACATTTCTAATGAATAAGTAATTGACGTGATCAATGAAATAGGTCATACTTTGTACCAATGATATGTATCGATTTGTTATTTCTATTTAGTATAAACGGTAATTTTATATGATTTAGTGAACGAATAATTCAAATATCTACTATTAAATGCAGGAATAACAAAGCGATGAAACATTATGGAATTGCTTATTAAACATTTCATGGATTATTATTTCTGTTTGTATCTTTATCAAATCGTTTTTCGAGGCTTATTGGTTTATTCAAAAACAGATACCGGTTATTAAAAATAAACCGGTTAGTCATCCTATACCACACCTACTTTAATATTTACTTTAAACTGTCGGCCATTTATCCATTTATACAAAAAATCGTTTGTTTACACAGTGACGATATTACCGACAATATGTGATCCACTTTTCTTGCTTATCATTGTGTATATTGATTTTTCAAGCTAATAAATTCTTATTTTTGAAGAACTAGCATTACAATAAAACGTTTATTCAACTTTTTATATTCGACTACCAGAAAGAATAAAATAACACGGACAAATTACCTCTACTATAATCTGCTAGATATTAATTAAAGTATAAAAATTAGACTACGGATTTTATGCACTTATCGTAAATGTAAATATGCAGAACACGATATAGTAAAAATTTCAGAAAGGCGTATATCAATTCTACTTTACTTTGAACCTAACGAAACATTTATTAAAGAAAACGAAACTGTAACATAACTTCAGCTTACGAAATTAATCCGCAAAAGTCTGAATTTGCATAAAAAAAACCGGCCGTCTAATAATTACACATATTCCATTAATGTTCATAACTAATTTCTGCAAGAAAAGTAATGTTTTTTTTTAAAAAGTTACACTTTTCCCGGTTATGTAATGAAGAACGGCTTATTCTGTATAGAATTTTTAATGACGTTATGATAAAGATAGTAGAGACATCGAACCATTAAAGGGGATAAGCGAAAGTGGGCCTTGGCGATGCGTCACAGTGTTTTCGACCCTCAAACTTGGCCCGCTGTGTCACTGCCTTGACGTTGACCCAGATAACCGGTTTATGAAACTATATAGAGATCTCAGAAATGATTAAATCTCTCCATATTTGTACATCTTTTAATATCTCAGCTCGAAATATCCGGCGAAAATGTTTTCATCATTTGGTAAATCTTTCAACAATCTAGCAAATGTCCATGGTACATGCAGAACGTTTCGTCTTAATTACCCCATGTGCCATGTGCATATACAGTGGGTGATGAAATTATTAGTCACCTGCATAAATTTACCATTTTGACTGTACTTTTGCATAATTACACGAGCCAAGAATTTCTTTCATGTATTTCTAATGAACAGTTGATAATTAAAAAGTTATCCAGTGTAAAAACCTTTTTACGCAACACACAAAAAAGATATTTTTTGTACTGTGGGCTCTATTAATTCGATCACTCGCTATAATAAAAATTACCAGAAATATTAAATTGTTAGATTAAAATGGAAATGTTTCTATTAAAAATAGCCCCATAGCTAAAAATATATTAGATATTGGAAGCTTAACATCACTTTTTTCTTTAGATGTAATTCAGCATTCGTTCAAAAAGCTATCACTGTAATACTCCCACGTGAATTAAATTCAACCGAAATTAAAACCAAACCGAGGAAATATGTTCATCTATTGCTATAATACTGTAACATACAATAACAATTATTCAAGAATACTCGTAGTAAAAAGCATCGATCAGAAATCAAACTTCGATTTCAGAACAAATTAACGCAAATCATCGCACAGGGGTAAAAGTGTGATAAAGACAATGACCTATGTTAGTCGAAGTTATTTAGCACTAGAATTACTCCACCCGTCAAAATTACGAATTTCCGATTTTTTATTTTACAATTACTGAAACGCTAGAGATACTTTCATCGGAATTTATGTTAATGTCTAATTTCTTATACACGTCATATTATAGTATACTAAGCTATATTGCACTATATATTACACAATTTAACTTGGCACACATTCAACGCTGGTAGTTCTAGTGTTAAAGTCTAGGTTAATACCCAATTTCCTATATACATATTTTGTCTCAATATTCATCAAAACATTTCTTCAGTATTGCCAGTAATTTCGCCAACAATCACACGAATCGAACAAAACCTCTACACATGTTTACTCCAAAAAAATCTATTCATTTTATTAAATTACCAATAAATGCAATTCCTCAATATTCTTGCGCAGTGCGGCAGATATCTGTACGACCGTAAAAATCCACTACCCTAATTTCTAAATGAAAAATATCACGAACGAGTTCATTTCCTGAATAAAAATATTCAACAACCATGTACTCAATTTCCCCTTTTTCTTTTCTTAAATAACACACAATGGACGTGTATTCGAATTAACCCCGATAATTTGTTCACGCAAAATAATCAACATCGATTGCACACCTGAAGATGATTATTCTGTCGCAAAATTCTGATAACAGATGTTACAGTACGCGGGTACATAGATAAGGGAAATGAGTATCGATCAGAAGTCACACCCCTTTAAGGTGCGTCGGCAGCCTCGCGATGATCAGGGTCACTATGATACAACAGAATTCTTTCTCACCCCCCGTGTATCCTCTTTCCTTCAATCGTCTAAAGAAAACGAAAC